GTCTCTTACCTGCAGCCGGCAGTGTGTAGAGGTCGGTCGGGCCGTACATGGGCAGCTGGGCGCGGTGCTGGCGCAGGTAGCGCAGGACGGGCTCCCGGAATGCCGGCTTTGGGCCCGCTTTGTGCTCGGGGCGCTGGCCGGCCACCTGCGGGACAGAGCGGTCAGACAGGGCACGGAACGGGGCAGCGGGCTCTGGAAACACGTCGGGGCCGGGACACGGGGGCACCGGGGCACGGAGAGGCCTCACAGCGGTGGCTTGTTGGCCTCTCCCTCCCTCACGACGTGCCGCGGGTGCGAGGGCTGTGCGGAACGAGCCCGTGCGGAGCCCCCGGCTGTCCCGACACGGCCTGCCAGAGGGGTCTCGCCAGAGGAATTCCCCCGCTCCCTGGCCGGTATTTACCGTGGCTTTTCAGCGAGCCCCGGCGCGGCCCAGCTGCAGCCGGAGCAGCAGGCCATCCATTACCCTGCCGGACGCCGAGCGCTGTTCCGGGAGGTCTGGCACGGCTCGTGTGCCCCCGGCGTGCGGCAGCATCCAGCAGCTGATGGAGGTGCAGCCCCAGCCCTGCCATCTGCATGTTTGCACCGCCGGAGCGAACACAAGGCTGCGATCCCCGAGGGGTAAACACGGCCCGCGCCAGCGGCCCCGCCGGAGCCACGGCAGCCTCGGGTGACAATTCCAACACGGGCTAAACGCAGGGGCCCCGGCCCCAGAACAGAACCGGCTTCTCTATGCGGTTAGTGCTTCCATTAGCAAACACTGCTGTAAATACTACCCCTGTTTGCAGGACACTGATTCCCACTATCTCTGCAAACTAACCGGAAATATCTGACTTCTCTGCGCTTACACCCACAGCTCTTAAGCATCTCTTCCCTTCATTTTTACACTTCATTAGTAATTTTTCTGCATGCTGAAATGAGCTAGAATATGGGCAACAAGAGGCAAAGATAGTAGGTCTCTTAGTTCAAATAGAAATACAGCCAGTCCTGAGGCATTTAAGAGGCACTGCATGAGCACATGGTACCTACTGTGGATCTGGCAACGTGCACAGAAGTGACACCCAATGAAAACATAAAAGGTGACATTTTGCAAATACAGTTAAAATAATTTTTAGTAAATACAGTCAAAATCACCGTGAAAAAAATATAAAAGTGCAAAATGCCAAATTTTCATTCAAATGCAGATAACTGTCACCTGTGTCCATAGGAACAATCCTGACTCACACAGAGCTGCTCCCAGTCCATGCAGGGAGACTGGCTGTGTCAGGACTGCTGCCACAAAGACACGGTAAGGCAAGTGAGTCCTTCATTTTTAGGGCACAAATTCCCCTCTCACTCAGGTTGTTCCAACTTACAGCATGAGAAAAATGTTTGAATGATGGCAAGAAAAACACTTCAAATCAGGCCACTCATTCTGCACAGAACTTAATTTTGTAAGCTCCTTTGCAGATGTCTTCCAAGAGACCCCAAATTAAAGTGCACCAAGGCCCTTTCTGGGTCAGGACAACAGGAGGCAAATTGCTCTGAGCCCTTCAGGGAGGAGGTAGGGCTGAGCACCCGTGGCTGCAGCCAGGATGTGGCAGCGTAGGGCCCTGGAGATGGGTGGGCCAGGGGCTCCATAACCTCTCTCCCTTCCTCCCGCCACCCTGCCTCCATCTACACGCAATTCTGTTTGTTTTCCACACAGTAAAAAACTCCAGGAGCGCATGTTTAAAACCCAGTGCCACCATCTGGAACCACATGGGGTTAAACAAAGGCAGCAGCAGTGTGAGCAGGGGCAGGGTGAGCTGATCCCAGGTAGTGGGTTGGAACCGAGATCATACCACAAACTCGGCTTGGGATCAGCCAGAAGTTGCTCAGGGTGTGAGGGAGGCAGCTCTGGGGGCTGCTGAACCCCATTAGTTCTCCCCATGGAGCACAGTGACTTTGGATTTTGGGCAGGCAGTTCCAGGCTGCTGAGCCTTTATGCCTCTGTCTGTGGTGCTAGGGCCAAAGCTATACACAGCATTAGCAAACATTTTAATTTCACCCTTATTCAGGAAATCCACTTATCACTGAAAAAGCCAGTTGCTTTCACCCTTTGGATTACAAAAGCCATGCCCTGTGGGTAGGTGTTGAAAAATCTACCCACAGGCTCAGCTGAGACAGGTGTAGGATGGCCCACAGCGTGTTCCTATTAGGGAACACTCCTAAACCCAAGGGAACACATGAACAAGCCAGGCTCCAGATTCCACTGGGTACTTGTACTAAATTGCAGCTATAATGCAAAAATGCAGTGAAGGACAATAGAGTGAGTTCAAGTTCTTCTGGCAGATTTGAGAATATGCCCAAACAAGAAAACACTGTGCTGTACGTGGTGACCCCCTCTGTGAGGTACACAGTGCTGCTCAGGCTTCCCCGAAGAGAGAGGTAAACAGAAACATAAAGCTTCAGGATAAAGATGGGAGAAGAAACCAAAGTGAACAACACTAACAAATTACCTAAATAATAAAATGCACTCGCCAGTCGTTCTTCTTACCTGTTCTGACATCAGGGTTTGGCGCAGTTCCTTCTGCAGATCAATAAACCGATCGTGATAGATGGCCATGGACCAAGGTTCCCTGAAGTAGCTGGGGAAAAAAAGAAGAAATTTAGTTATCTTGTGAACCTCTCATTAACCACTAATAAAGTATTTACCTGCTTTTTTGCCTTTATAAATTACAGTTCTGGACCCCTTGTGATCGTTTGTTCATAAAATGCCTCCTTGTAACAGCATGGTCAATCAATTCTTTTAATGGATGTTCCTGATGTACAGCCAGCTTCAGTAATTACATTTAAAGTGGCTTAATTCAGAGCTGTGGCAAGACCCAGTGAAGAATCCTGATTTTATCAGAATTTAAAAGCCTGAAGACCTGTAAAGAACGGTGTCTCCATTATCTGTCCTCATTTGAGAAAAGCAGATTGCAGGATTAACTGAACTGCTGCATAAACAAATTAAATTTGTGTAGACAATGACACAAATGTTGTTCATCATTAAGGTTTCTGGATTAATAAAAGCCAGAAAAACAGGCCACCACAGCGCTGCAATATGTTCTTTGCACTAGTGTGACGAAGCTAAATAGAACCGATTTGAGGAGGAAGCTCTTGTAACTTTTTCTTTCAGTGACAGCATTCACAGCAGCATTCTTCCATGAAACAGGAAGGAAAAGATGCAGAGGACTCTGCTCCCTGTAGAACCTCCTGGCTGTAAATGTAACTGAGGGCAGCCAGATTACAAAGCTGTAATTTACTTCTCTTTATAATGAAAGATAATTTTTCCAGCTCGGGTGAGATGCTGGGAGTGTAATTCTTGCTAATGCTCGCTGCGGTCAGGAGGTGCCCCCGCTCATCCCCGTAATGACCGAGCAGATGTCAGCAGGCTCACCCGGGAGCTTGGGAGAGGGGGGCATTTGTGTGCTTGCCACCAACACTCACGCCTTGGGAATGGCAGCAGGACCCTGGCACTGCCCTCAGGAGCACAGCAACTTTCTCACCTGCTTCAGCTGTGGGGCCTTTAAGTGAGCACCTGCATAAGGCAACTTAAACACGCTCCACAGATTTAATCATCCTGAGATATCTGTCCACAGAGAACTAACGTGCAGTTTCCTCTCTGCAGATTTTACTTCCTCCATGTCCAGGGGCAGGATTTCCCCCTCCTGCTCTGAAAGACACCTCAGTTCTTCATTCACACCCATTGAAATGCTCTGTGCACCCGGCAGAGCTCGGCTGGATGTCCACGTGCTTGGCCCCTCTCTGCCTCGGCACCCCATTCCCCTCTGCATGCCAGGCTGGCTGGGGCTGTCTCCCACACACCTTTTCACAGTATAAATATTTATGGACACCATTCCAAGCACCACATCCTTGCTGTAGCAAGTGCCCAGCCCAGGAGCTACTGGGACTGACGCTTGCCTGCTCATTCAGGTATGCCGGTTAGAAAGGATGAGCTCAGTGTTAAGGATCCTTGTTTCAGTAACTGCACACCCCAACGGTGTGCAGAGAGCCGGAGAAAAACACAGTATCCCATAATATTTTAAACCCCTTCAATTTCAGAAGAAAAACCCCGCCCAACACCAACCTTCAACTCACTGTCGATAATAAACAGCAAAGAGAGAGGAAGGGAAGCGTTAAACAAGAATACATTAAGGTAATTAAGGACTCTGTCTTTCCTGATATGCTGTGGTAAAAGCTGTGTTCCACCGGCCAAATGTTTTGTCTTCAAGCTGGCATCTTAATTTTAACTACAACCCTGAGCAGATGATTTCCTCTCTCAGCTGAGGTGCAGCCTCAACTGCCTTACCTCAGTTAAGGGGCTCACCTGCCTCACCAAGCTGTTGCACTTAATGCTCTTTATAAATGTTTCAGGGGCACTACATATTCCTGAATGCTCCATCTATAACCACAGCTTTACTGTTCCTGTCAATATCCACAGATTTGGAGCTCAAAACCTGAAATGTGCCACTCAGTTTGGAATCTTTAATGCCAATAAAATGCCTGGTTTTGGGAGCAGAGAATGCCTTGCCCATATTTTCTAGATAGACTGCCAGAAAGAGCTCCTAGTAACCAACATTTACTCCCAGACTTCCTTCACTTCCCTTCACCTGAAGAACACCAAGGGCCATTTGGAGATTCAGCTCACACAAGCAATTCACTTTCTTTGCCGGCTCTGTGCTTCCATTTATCTTTTCAGTTCAAATCACCTTTCTCCGGGGGAACATGGTATTTTTGACAGAGCAGCTCTACATATGGCTGCTAAAGGGAAGCTTAATAATGAAAAACCCCATTTGAAACCAACAAGTTGACTTTCTGAGGCTCATTCTGAATTTTATTACCACTTCAGCAGCAGTCCCTCAGGGCAAGCCGTGGAAGGCTTCAAAGTATAAAGCTCTTCAGTGTACGAGACGGAGCTGGCACGCTCCCAACAGGGGCTCAGCGCTCCTCTGCCATCACAAGAACGGCATCTGCCACATGTGTTTGCACCATTTAGTCTTTCATAACCTGCCAGGGTGATCAGGCTAAATATGTACAAGATGACAGTGTCTGCCAGCAGCAGAAGGGGTGTGCAAACTTGGTCACTTCCTAGCGGGGATCCCTGCTGGAACAGCCTTCATGGCAGTGGCAGCCACTGTGGGAAGGCTGGCTGGGATGGAATGGGCTCCTGCAGAACACAATGAACAACATCCTTCACACTGCTAAGGAGCTGGTCTCACCTGTCATTGGCAAACAAGATTTCAAGTCTGTCCTGCCTCACTTGTGTAGCCTACAATAGATGAGAGGCAAGGAGGAAGCAAATAGTTAGTGGTGTCCTGCACAGAATCCTTCCCTTTGCAAGAAATAAAAATAAATAAAATGGACAGAGCTGGGCACTGCTAGCAAGCAAAAATGGAGCACACACATGGCTGTCCATCTGAGAGCTGCCTAGAGTTACCCTCCATTTCCCTTGCACCACGTTTGGATAAAAAGCCTCTGTCCCTGTGGAATGTGGTTCTATGTCCTGGCAGCAAGGACCCAACACTGAGCTGCCATCTGAGTCAGGTCTGGTGGCACGGGGTATAGCACTGGCAGCAAGGTGTGAAGCCAGAAAATCTTAAAAACCGAATGAAAAACCTTCAGAGTAACACCCTTGTTTTGTACAAGGACAAAACAAAAAGCAAGTTATAAAGATAAAAAAAGAGATGAGTAATTTCAGCTCTGTGGTACATCTCCTGCCTTCAGGGGAGTTTGTCCATGCCCAATGCCCTGTGCTCCTCTGCTCTAGGGTCAGTTCCAGGGACCAGCTCTGATCCCTGAGCTGTGCTGGTGCTCTGGTGCCTTCTCGCCGCAAGGAGGCTGGGATCAGGAGAGGATTGATTTTCCACTGCTCAAAGGGCAGGTGGCACCCTGTGATGGTGCCTTTGAAAAACCCCTCTGCAGACCGGCAGGGACCACGGGCTGGGAGGATGATGTGGCTGTGGCTGTTCTTACACTGCTCAGAACTTGCACAGACACAACAAGCCCAAATTGGACTCCTCACATCCCTCCTACCCCTGCTCTTCCACCAACACGCACATGCTCAGGGGAAGTTCAGAGACTCAGCTTATGATGTGGGTCGAGTCTGCAGCTCTCAGTAGACGTCTGTAAGCAATCCTGAACACAGATCTCCTGAAATCCCCTTTGTTTCTTCCCAAAGCCATGCACGAGTCACCAGTGCCGTGCCCTCGGTGCCACTAAGCCCGGAGGCCCTCTGGTGCTGGCTGTGTCCTCAGCACCAGCACTGTGAGCACACACTGAGCAGCTTTTAGTACAAGCACCATGGCTTTTAGCACACAATACAAGCACAGTCACTGATCAACCTAAGCTCCTGGTAATCTGTGAGGAGTGGAGAATCTCTTTCCCTCTCTGTAGCTTCCTGAGCTTTGTACAATGTGGGGAATTTTTAAGACAGATGTGCACTTTCCTAGGTTGAAATTTCTTTTCTAAGAAGAAATGTAATGCTTGAAATGCAAAATTCTCCAGGATGTACCAGCTACACCCAGAAGCCACTCTGTCCCTTCTCAAATCCTCAGACCTCAAGACATACAAAGTCATTCTCCAGCACGTGTGGATGGCTCTGCTGGAGTGTGGAAGCCGAGTCTCAGCGGTGCCTTTGGCACACGATGGCCAAACCCTCCAGTGCTGAGAGCCCAGCCAGGCAGAGAAAGGCTGCTGCTCACACATCCCAGGAATCACCCCAGCACAACAGGCACAGAGGAGATGGAAGCCATTCAGCTGACATGGGCTCAAGTGGAACACAATTATGCCAGGAGTGCCTACACAGGGACTTCCGCTTCTCAAGAGTGGGAAGAGTAAAGTATTGTGGAGGGATGGGATGCAATGCAATTTTAATTTTCAGGCCATCCTGATAATACTCCCCAACCACAGCTTGCACAAAACTTGAACAAAAGTCTTTTCTCTGACACAAGCACACAAGATGGAACATCTCATCTTGCCAGGAAAATTCAAAATGTGTTGTTTTGACAACAATATATGCATGTCTTTAAGACTCTTAATTATGAAGATATGGTAATACCAGCAAAAGATACAAAATATTTCCTGATATACCTTGGAGAGCTGGACCAGGAATAATAGTGTGTTAATTTAAAGACAATATAAATAAAAGAGCATTTCCTGCATTCATCTGACCGATAATTTAAAAAGACAGCTTGTTTACATAGGTAAAAAGCAAGACCAGTTTGTGTAAAATCCCCTAGAGCACCACCTGACAGCATTGTTCTTCTGCACAAAGGACATAACATATTCCCTGACCTGCAATTTCTTAACATTCACCTACAACTGCTGAACAGCAAATGTGAACCAACAGCCTGTTTGTAGCAAAAAGGGTCTTTATGTCCTTGCTCTGCAGTTCTGCTCCCTGAACACCTGCTTGTCCAGGTGTCTGAATATCTTCTGTTAAATTCAGTGATCCAGGACTCTGATACTGCTCTGACCTGGTAATTGGTGAAGTGAAATAAAACAGCCTTATAGACAACAAATCTCTGAGTGAATCCACTAAACAGTTCACAAAGTCACAACAGTGCTCACAGATTCACAAGCTGACATTTCTTTTGTCCCTTTT